ATAATATGTTTTGTAATATTTTAATCATTTATATTTATATCCTATATCTATTCCTATTATATCCTATATATATCCTTAATATTGAATTTTTTTCATATGTAAAGATATTTGCCTATTGCTCTCTTGTGCGTATTAAGTAGTGTGTAAGCAAGGCGCAACTCTGCACCGGAGTTTAGACCGGGTTAGTTTTGGTCTAATGAAAAATCTATAATAGTTTCTCAAAATAGCAACGCGCCAGCACTGCGCCTCAGAAAGCCTTCCTTTTTAGACCAGAACGCCTATGGGTGCGCAAATGAGTACTATTTCATTTGGTGTTTTAACAGCGTAGCGCAACGGCTTAAAACGACTCTTGCGCCAAGCTGAAACTACCAAAAGACTATTGCGCCGCGTCCTGCGCCACACTGCGCCGGGTGTATGATAGGGCCCTAACAATTTCAGGTCAATGGTCAGAGTTCTGTGTTTTGTTCCAGTTGGTCTGTTTTGTCTGGGATTTTGCACTCATGGTATTTACATGAGAATAAGGAAACAATTGTGTTTGATGCTCATGGTATGTCATTTCCATTCTCTAAACTTAATAACCATCTATGCGTAGGTATATCCAAATTTTCAATCTATGGTACCTCGTAGGTGCAACTTAGCCAGTTTTAATTTTGCACTGTAAATGCATTCATTTTTTAAAAATTTTGTAGTGTTTTGAAGTTCAAAAAATGTTTATTGATACAATTTTTGTAAGTTGACACAAAATATTATCTAATAAAGCTAGGAAAAACTTGCCTTTAAAGGTAAAACCACAGTATATATTTTCTATTGTTAAGTAAATGATTAAAAAAATAAATAAGTAAGAGTTGATACAAGTAACAAGGATTAAACGGATGGTTCACCCAAAAATGTTAATTCTTTTATCATTTACTTAGCCTCTTGTTTCAAACCTGTGCTGAAGTATTTTTTTCTTCTGTTAAACACACTATAAGACATTTTGAAGGATATTTGACTTTCATAGTATTTTTTTTATATGTAAACAAAGTCAGTGGCTACCGTTCACTATGTTGCTTTAAAAAATATTTGTTTGTGTTTGGCAGGAAGAAAGAGACTAGTTAAGGCTAGGAAGCACTCAAGCGATGGTTTAAAAAAATATAGATTTTTTTTTGTAAACTAACCCTTTATTGTTAAGCCGCCTGGACTTTGTTCTCCTGGTTTGCTGGTACTACTTTAGGATTTATCTCTCTTTTTCTCTTTCTCTCTCTTTTTGTTTTTAATGAAGTGTCTGATGTGTCTAGAAGTGCAGGTTGTGGCCCCTCCTCTTTCTTGTGAGTGGTCAGTCCTTATTTGCCCATCCGAGAGGCTTATGGTGTCACTGAGCTCCAGGCACATGCCGTGCATACCAGCAGATACTCTGCGCACAGTTGTTGGGCATACCCTACGTTTTTCTGCCTCGGGGAACGGATTGCTCACATTCACAGAGAAGCTCGATTAAGGGCAAAAACGACAGATGCTCTTTTACCCTTCTGTTGAGAGCTCCGTGAACATGTTGTCCAGCAACTCTATTTTGGGTAGACAAATTTAAGAGGGGGGAGGGAAAATAGAAATGAGAGTTGCATTGCATTGCGTCATGCAGAGAAAAACAAAACGAGCCATAATTGTGACCATGGACCACAAACACATAAGTGTTCATTATTTAAAATTGAGATGTATGCATCACTTTTTGAACAAATAAGCTTTTTATTGATGTACATGTCATTAGGATAGGACAATATTTGACCTAAATACAACTAATAGAAAAGATTCTGAGGCTTAAAAAAAAAGAAGTATTGAAAAATGAAAGTTCAAAGTCCAAATTAAGTGCTCAGCTATGCACATTACAAGAGTTTTGATATCTATATATCTATATACACATATATATACTGTATATTAATTAAAGATTATATTCCAGGAAGACATAGTCCAACAAGACAAAGGCTTAGTCCCTTTATTTATCAGGGATCACCACAGTGAAATGAACTGCCAACTTATCCAGCATATGTTTTACGGAGCTGATAACCTTTCAGCCGCAACCCCGGGCTAGGAAACACCCATGCACTCTCACATTCACACTAATACACTGTGGCCAATTTAGCTTAATCAGTTCACCTATAGTGCATGTATGTATTAGCTGGCAGCTAGCTCTCTGCAACTCTCACATGGTTGCCCACTGAATGCTAAGCAGGGCTGTGCTTGGTCAGTACCTGGATGGGAGACCACAAGGGAAAGCTAGGTTGCTGCCGGAAGTGGTGTTAGTAAAGCCAGCAGGGGGCGCCCAACCTGCAGTCTGTGTGAGACGTTAAACTGAGGACCTGACTCTCTGTGGTCATTAAAAATCCCGTAATGTCCTTCGAAAAAGAGTAGGGGTTTAACCCCTAGCCTAACATCCTGGCCAAATTTGCCCAATGGCCACCTAACCATCTCTATATCATAATTGGCTTCATCACTCTGTCTCCTCTCCAACAATCAGCTGGGGTGTGGTGTGCAGCATTGCGTAATATGGCTAACATTGCGTCATCCAGGTAGATGCTGCACACTGGTGGTGGATGAGGAGATTCCCCATATGTGTAAAGCACTTTGAGTGCCCAGAAAAGTGCTATATAAATGTAGGGACTTAGTATTATTATTATTGAATTGAACTGTGGAGGAAACTGACACACCTAAAGGAAACCATTGCGAACACAGGGAAAACATGCAAACACCACACAGAAATGCCTGCTGACCCAGCTGGGGCTAAGACCTTCTTGCTGTGAAGCGGCAGTGCTAACCACTGAGTAATGTGTCACCACTAAATATATCTTAAATACCATATATTTATTACTATCTTTAACTAAAATTCTAATTCTTTTTGTGGCATAAACGAAAAAATGTAAACCCTACAATGTGTTTTCAACTAGTGCCAGAAAATATACCCAACATAACGCTGGTTATGTGGACTGGGGTCACAATTAAATATTTACTGTTGTCTAAAGTCCATTAGCAGTTGTTTTTCAAGGATCACATACTTATACGGTAAATGGTGCAATCAAATTTTAGTCAGACAACCACTCCTAATCGCACAATATTGCGGCAGCCTCCTTACTCTCCCTTTCTGTTCCTTGAATTTATATAAACAAAACAACTCTAATATGCTTTAAATCAACAAGCTAAACAATATCTAGTCTTACTCCATAATCTATGATGGGAGTTGGCCAATTATAGTACAATTTGTCATAATTATTTCCAAAGGTGTTGGTCACCACAGTGATGACATTTCCATTGTATTCTTTACAAAAGTGCCTACATTTGACTGAATGTTAGTGACAACGCACAAACATTTGAGAAAAATGTTGACCTGCCAGTTTGGCCCCTCCATAGGTGTGGTTACGGTTTCAACCAAAACCCCTCGAGCTCTCTGTAAAATTGGCTTAATCCATCAGAGACCTGGCTGTAAATTTAGGAAGATGCAAACAGAAACTTGATCTGCTTAGGCATGTTGAGATTTGGGGTTTCATGATAAAACAGTGATTTTCTGCCCTAAGAAATGCACTTATCACGTCACTGGCGGTCACATCTAAGCTTGACATCCCCTTAATTTAGCAGTTACTTAGCCTAAGGTGAGCCACAGCTGAGATTTTTCTTCTATTCCTGTTTTGTTTAAACACCATTTGAGTGACGGTAAAGACTATTTTAAAGAAATGCTGTCATTTTTAACCTTTTATTTATTAAATAATCCTGAAAAAAAGATTCTACTGTATATTAAAATTATATTAAAATACATATGCTGTAATTAAAAAGATGTTCTTGTGAATCAAATAATAATATTAGAAAGATTATTTATACATTTTTTGTGATCAAATTATAGTTGAACTGTTGGAAAAAATCTAGTATAATTGTTATAGACAAGGACCAACTGCATTTTCCAATAATACCCCACCTACCCCTGGCAAAAAATAATAACTAATTAAATAAAAAAGGTAAAAAAGCAGAGCCTTAAACAAGAAGAAAGATAAAAAAGTAAAATAAAATTATAAAAGGTTACAATACATATAAATAAACAACAAAAGTAAATAAAATTACCTTTGCATTTAACTTCTTACAGCACTTTTAAGGTAGATAAATAGGACTTTTACACACAGGTTAAATAAAATAGCAAAGAAAAAAATCACAATAGCATATATTTTATCTTAGTTTATGCACATATCCATGGAGTACACAACCCACCCCCACCCCCTTGAATTGTATTTCTTTTTTAAATAATTACCAAATTAAGTTTATAGAGCAAGGAAATTTTCACTGTATGTCTGATACAATTTTTTTCTTCCAGAGAAAGTCTTCCAATTATTAGCCCCTTCAAGCAAATTTTTTTTTTCCTGATAGTCCACAGAACAAACCATCATTATACAAAAACTTGCCTAATGACTCTAACTTGCCTAATTAACCTAGTTAAGCCTTTAAATGTCACTTTAAGCTGTATAGAAGTGTCTTAAAAATATCTAGTAAAATATTATTTACTGTCATCATGGCAAAGATAAAATAAATCAGTTATTAGAAATGAGTTATTAAAACTATTATGTTTAGAAATGTGTTAGAAAAAAAAACTGCTCCCCGTTAAACAGAAATTTGAGAAAAAATAGCTAATAATTCAAGGGGGCTAATAATTAAACTATGTTTGTATGTTCCTATGACAATTGGGAGATGATGTTAGTTTCTAAATTCTATGAATCATTTTGAATTTATCAAGATTTCTAAATGTTTATGAGACACTGAAAATGTTCAACATAATGTAGCTTTTCCATCACTTGAATAAAATATTTTAAAATTTGTTTGAAAAATAAAATAGTTATTTAAGATTGGAATGATATTTCATAACATTTACTGAGGAAAACATATAAACCAAGTTTAAAGTCCTCACATGTCATTTAAGCTTTTAGTTTACACACTATGTCATTTTGATTACAGAAAAACAAACAAAGTTTGCAGATGTTTTTGCTTGTGTCCAGGTTCAGGCAGCTGCAGCTGGGTTCAGACAGCAGGGTGGCAGAACTGCTCAACCAGGTGAAGCTGAAAAAGTTTGAGTTGGAGCGATCCCAGATGGTCCAGGAGGAGACAGCCAGGAACCTCAGCCTTTGTCAAATTGAGTGTGAGAAACATCAGAAAAAACTGGAGGCAAGGCTCTGTAAAATAAATAAATCTTTCATTTGGGTTAAATCTCTATGGCAGCGATGCCGTGCACATAAATCCCGAACAAAGTGATTTCCTTTGGACTCACTGCAAGTTAAAACCTGTTAATTGCTTAGTAATTCAAGCTGTTAATTCCTTAAAGGAACGTTTCAACATTCTGTCATCATTTACAACAAGTTTATGTCATTTCTGATACGCTTGACTTTCATCTTTTCAAGAAACACTAAAAGAAGAAAATGGAAGAAATTACTGACCACTCTTTACTATGGAATAAAGTAAACAGTAGTTGTCAAGTTCCAAAGATAAAATAAAAGTAGTATGAGTGTGTCATGAATGTACCATAAAAATATACTCATGTATACACAAAAATTAGTATTGTATTGGTTACCGGCCTGTTGGGGTTTTAATAATGTATAATTATAAGCATCAATGAATATTGGATGTTTAAGGTGGCATAAAACTACTTTTTTAACAAAATTTAAAGTTTTATTTCTTCACAAGTTTTCACAGTTGTCATCATTAACATTATTTTTAATTTATATTTTAAAAGTAAAGGTAAATATTTTGTACTTTTTTGTATACTATATATGAAGTATGGATCGTATAGATGTTATTTTTGACATCCCTAAATTAACTAGTATTTGAAATTGATAATAAATTTAGTGTTTTATGCTTATTTTTTATTTTAAAGTAATTTTGGTAAAACTTTAGAATAATGGTCCATTAGTTAATGTTAGCGAATGTATTTACTAACATTAACTAAGTATGAATAATGTAGTCCAACATTAACTAATGTATTATTACAATTTAAAGTTAATGTCAATTTACATGAAATAACGTAAAGAAATAAATAAGTTCATGTTAACTCTGTGTATTAACTAAAATGAACAAACATGATTAAATACTGTAACAAATGTATTACTAATGGTTTGTTTATGTTAGCAAATACATTAACCAATGAACCATTATTTTAAAGTGTTTTCACTTCCAATTGTAATATTGTGAAGTTCATTCATTTTACATTAGATTCTTTGTAGCATTTCATAAAAATGATTATACAGAACTTCATGACTTCAGCAGAAACAGACCAACGTTTAAGTTAAGTCATTAAACATCTCTTATGGTCTGTTTTAATAATGCCAGTTTGCCAGTTTTAACCTTGGCATTCTGGATCCTGAGCATTTTTACTTGTGTATTCCACTGAAAGAAGACAGTTTAGAAAGTTTTAGGTGTAAAGATTAATTTTTAATGACAAATATTGATATACTCTTGAAGTATTAGCTCACAATTTGATTCTTCAAATGTCAACACACTGATTTTCAATTCATTCAGACACCAGACAAGGGTTGAACCCCATTACTGCTCTATTAAATAAAGACTGTACATATTTGTCAGCATCATAAAACCTATTTGTACATGATGTTATGACACCACCCTTGTTACTCAGCTTCTGCCATTATATTGTTGCCCTTTTCTCTCTGCTTTTGCAGGTTCTAACAAAAGAGTTTTATGGGCTTCAAACATCATCCGAGAAACGCATCACTGAACTGCAAGCCCAGAATTCTGAGCATCAGGCACGACTAGAGACGTATGAGAGGCTGGAAAAAGAGCTGGACGATGTTACCATGCAGGCTGCAGAGAGTAAGAAAACAGACTGATTCAGTCATTGCAAGTGAATTATTTAGAGTTATACAACAGGTGTAAAAGAGAGGTTTTTAGAGGCACAATATGTACAATTGTTTCATTAAAATATCCAAAAACAGTATCATACATTTTGCTGACCTACGGTGCTCAGCATAGATAAATACACCCCTCACAAATCTATCTTTTAAATTCATATTTTAATAGGAAACTATAGGAATATTATATTTGTGCATATTCATAAGATAATACATAGTCTTCATCATATAAATTGTTTTAATAAAATTAATTTAATTAAACTGCTTTATGCTCTAATACCTTGAACGCTCTTAAAATGCTTACATATTAAAAACACATGCACATGATTAACTTTGTGCTTAAACTGCAGTCTCCCCACAAATCTCATGTGTTTTAAACTGTGGTTCCTAATCACTTATAATCCCAACTCAACATTGCATATCTTGCAATGTGACTATTATGGATGCACACATTGGGCTCTATTTTGACGGTCCATGCGCAAAACGGAAAGCGCAGGGCGCAAACGTATTCAGGGCGTGTTATAATCCATATTTTCCAATATAAGGAAGGGAAAATCCGCTTTGCGCCGTGGCGCATGGTCTAAAAGGGTTGAGTTTATTTTCTTTATGATTTATAGGTGTGTTTTGAGAATAAACCAATCAAGAGTCTCATCTCCCAATACCTTTAAGAGCCAGCTACGTCACGCCATAAGCGCATTCGCTATTTACATGACGTAATTTCACTTTCGCTTTTGCTCTTGTGGATAGGGAAACCTTTTCGCACAGCCTATAAATAATTAATTTTGTTTGTTAAACGCAAATATTTGTTTCAAAACTATTTCTAAATTCAGTTCTAATTTCCAGCAAACGAATAAATGAACAATAAAAATGAAGTGTGTTCAAAATGTTATATCCTAAAACACATGCTGTGCCCCATATGATCTAAAACCTGCAGGTGGGCAAATCTAAGCTTGTTTTTAATAAAACAAATATAAATATGGATATAATAAATAATACTGCTAATAATAATAACATTATACAAAAGCAAATTGTTATGAATGAACAGAAAAAGCCTCCCGAGATGAAGAAGGCATAAAATCAGTGGTTTTTCATATTTATGTAGGCTAGAAAATAATATGTTTTGTAATATTTTAATCCTTTATATTTATATACTATATATATCCTTAATATTACAATCTTTACATATGTAAAGATATTTGCGTATTGCTCTCTTGTGCGTATTAAGCAGTGTGAAAGCGAGGCGCAACTCTGCGCTGGAGTTTAGACCGGGTTTGTTTTGGTCTAATGAAAAATCTATTTTAGTTTCTCAAAATAGCAACGCGCCAGCACTGTGCCTCAGAACGCCTTCCTTTTTAGACCAGTACGCCTATGGGCACACATATGAGCGCAAATGCATTTGCTATTTAAACAGCGTACCACAATGCCTCAAAACGACTCTTGCGCCAAGCTGAAACTAGCAAAAGACTATTGCGCCACATTGCGACGGGTGTATGATAGCGCCCATTGTGAAATCAATGCTCAAACGATATATTGTCCTAGTGTAGAATTCATGTTTTGAAAGAATCAGCAGACTCATTCATATAAAAAGCTAGTTACTTAATTACTAAATTAGTATTGAACAAAATTGAACAAATGAATGACCGAATGGGCTCCATTTTAACTATACAAGAACATAGTCTAATTCAAATGGCCCAGGTGCACTTATGATATGACTGAGCCCACTTTTGCTAGTTTATTGTAATTTTTATAAATAAGGCGCAACCAACATTCAAAAATATTGAATAAATATTGATAAACTTTTCAAACATGTATATTTGAATTAAAACTACTTAGTTTGAAAACGGCTGTTGCAAACTATACAGCCAATGTGAAAACATACTCTTTAACATACTGCTTTCCAGTGAAGTAATACATCCAGAAAAGTGTAACTGACTTTGAAACCACAGTAACAGGCAATTTGAAGAGAAGAACATAAAAGAGAGAGGAGGGAAACGGCTTAACTATAGAATAGCAGCACAGTGATAAGGGACCGCATCCAGTATCAACCTGCAATCATTGCGCTAGGCATTCTTTTTACGTTTGATCTGTGCAGAGTTGATGACGTTAAAAACCTGTTGTTAACTTGCTGTGGTTAATAACCTGGGGGATTTTAAAACCTGGCTAGGCCAGCCTTTCTCATCACCTCGGCTCAGTGTCAGCATATTCATTGAAGAGGGTTGTTTAAGGACACAGCCCTAAGGCCTTTTAGTGAAACCATCTTCAGTTCTGATTTAGTATGGCATTTTGAACATGCAGAACAATTTAGATGTGAAGGAAACCGACACACAGCGTATTTAACATGCTTGAAATTCTGACCTGATAATGCAACTGATTATATTAGTAAACTTGCATGTTTACATGCATGTTTTGCAGAAGAACTGTTTCCAAAGTAGTCATTTACAGACTGCATAAAATATATTTTACCACAGCTTTGATCTCCTTGAGTATACAGTTAGTGTATCTAAGGAATAATTTCTGGTGCTCTGCATTACAGTATTTTATTGCACAACTTCCAGGCAATCAGAATCAAGAATTTCAACAGGCTATGGAATAAGAATAAATATGACCCTCCTGTCAGGGCCTTAGGGACTATCTATTTTTAAATTTGCAGTAAAATGGAGGTTTGTCTAGTCTTTAGATTCTTTCTGCTGATGAGAGGATTGGTTAAAGTCAGCAGACACTGTGGACTTTCAGTCCTAATTCTCCTCAATATTGATGCACTGTACACCAAGAGACAGATCTTTAACCTGTTTAGTGTTAAACTGGTGAGCAATTCAAATTGTTTAATTCACTTTAATATTTGCTCCATTGTGTTTATTTATTGTTTATTATATGTATAGAAATTACATAAATTCACATTTATATTCCACTCCCCTATAAAGTCATCCCAATCAATCTAAAGTCTTTGTAAAAAAAAAAAAAGTTATTTAAGTCATCTGGTAAAGTTATGTCTCAATATGTTAGGATATATTACCATATATCGTAGAGAAAAAATACCGCAATCTCAATTTTTTCCAATATCGTGCAGCCCTACTCAACACTATTGACAATATTGTGCCTAAGTTTTAGCACAATATTTACTTATTATTTGCTGAAATGTTGTTTGATTAAGTGCCACTTTTGTGCTCATGTTATTTGGAACAAAAACAGATCTTGTTGGTGGCTTAAAAAAAGTTAAAGCTTAAAAAACCTAAAAAAAAATAAATAAAAAAAAAAAACACTTTTGAAAACTCAAAAAAGTCCCATTGACTTAACTTTGAACCAAACTTTATGACCTCATAACTCTGCGCCAGACTGTCAAACAGACTCAAGTTTAGGCTCATTTAACTCTACCAGTCTGACAATCACTGATGACCTTTCAACTTACTAGCCACACACTAGCAACCACTTATGGCACCTTAGCAACTGTACCATAGACTTCTATTGTAAAAAAAATGCCATTGACTTTACATTAGACATATTAACAACAAACCAATCAATACTATATACTGATTCATACTAGAAACATACTAACAGCATTTTAACACACTAATCTATACTATCAACATGCTAATTCATACTAAATTCATGCTAACAACATGCTAGTATTTACTAGAAACTTTCTAGTGGCATGCTAAGTCATACTAGAACCATGCTAACAACATGCTAATTTATGCTAAAAACACACAAGCAACATGATAAATCATACAAGATTCATGTTAATTTATGTTAGCAACTGCCTAGCAACCACTCAGAACACCTTAGCTACCACCTAGCAACACCTTAGCAACCACCAAGAATACCCTAGCAACCACTCAGAACACCTTAGTAATTGCCTAGCAACACCTTTGTAACCACCTAGAATACCCTAATAATCGCTTGGCAATGCCTTAGTAACCACTCAGAACACTCTAGCAACCACCTAGCAACCACTCAGAACACCCCAGCAACCACCTAACAACATCTTAGCAACGCCTTAGCAACCGCCCAGCAATGCCTTAGCAACCACTCAGAACACCATAGTAACTGCCTAGCAACCACTCAGAACACCCTAGCAACTGCCTAGCAGCATCTTAACACCACCTAGCAATGCCTTAGCAACCGCTGAGCAACCACTCAGACCACCCTAGCAACCACCTAGCAACATCTTAGAAACAACCTAGCAATGCCTTAGCAACAGCTTAGCATCCACTCAGAACACCCAAGCAACCACCTAGCAACATCTTTGCAATGACCTAGCAACCACTCAAAACACCATAGTAACCACCTAGCAACACCTTAACAACCATGTAGAACATCCTAGCAAGGCCTTAGCAACCACTTAGAACAACCTAGCAACTGCCTAGCAATGCCTTTGCAACATTTCTGTGGTTGACCTAGAAACCACATAGAATACCATAGTAACCACCTTGCAACACCTTAACAACTTACTAGAACACCCAAGAAAAGCCCTAGCAACCACTCAGAACACCCTAGCAACCGCCTAGCAACACCTTAGCAACCACCTACCAAGAACCATGCCAATGCATACTAGAAACCGGCTAACCAATATTTAGTCTATGCCAACTGCTTTAAACTTCCTTAAAACGACTTCAATTATTAAATTTTTTTAAAACTTCTTCAAATGTTCAGAGTAGGCTTTTTCAAACCACCTTAAAATGTGTCCACAAACTTTACTTTTCTAGTTTAATATTGGAGTTGTAACTTCCAGTATATCTTATGACAATTTATATGACCCATATGACACACATATGACCACAGTTTTTGAGTTTCATTACCAATCAACTGTGTAAAATGCAAGATGACTTGGGGCGCATGACAAGGGTTGGTTCTTGCTTGAGTTAGATTTTTAATAAAATAATGAATGAAACTGCTCGATCAATAATCAGCCCTAGATTTATATCTATTTTAAGGGATATGCATTCATTCATTCATTTTCTTTTCAGCTTAGTCCCTTTATTAATCTGGGGTCGCCACAGTGGAATGAACCACCAACTTATCCAGCACATGTTTTATGCAGCGGATGCCCTTCCAGCTGCAACCCATCACTGGGAAACTTATGGGATATTACATTTTAAAAAAACAATATTAAAAATAGTGCAAAAGTTTTTTTTTTTCCAAAACCATATTGTGTACATTACTAGATGTTTTCTTTCTCTTTATCTTGGATTTTTTTTTCTTCATTTTCTTGGCCTTGTTTTCACCTTTGAACAACATTTCAACATTTTCGACTTGAAGCATAAACCTTCCTACACATTATATACTGTAAGAAGGCAGAAAACTGTTTTCATAGTGTCTCGTTTTTAGTATTAATGCTCTCCCTTCTGGCTACGACTCTACCTGGGTGGTCTACACACAGCTGCTCTTAAACACACTTTTTATTCTTCTTCATGATAATATTTGTTGTTGTTGTTTGTAGTGGAGAATGAAGATGAGGCAGAAAGGGTGCTGTTTTCATATGGTTATGGTGCAAACATTCCAACAACTGCCAAGAGAAGACTGAAGCAAAGGTGAAGTCTGAGGAGGTCACTCTTCTTTGAGAACCAGAAGCTCATCTTTGTTTTTACTAACTGTTTTTATGTCTGCGTGACTCTAATCATAGGTTTCTAAATGTGCGTGTGTGCGTGTGTGTGTGTGCTTGTGTGTGTGTAGTGTTCACTTGGCACGCAGGGTTCTGCAGCTGGAGAAACAGAACACACTGCTTAGGAGAGACCTGGAGAGACAGACGGCACACAGCAGTCAGATCTCTGAAGAGGTGCTGCATTTCACTCTTCTCACAAGAATGCGAACATACACAAATACACATGCAGTACCTGGGTAGGTGGGTGTGGAGAAAAATTAGTAAAAAAGCATTCCGGTCTGTGTCTGTGTGTGTACACACAGATATATGGGTCAAAGATGAGGCGTCTGCATCAAATTAATTTAATCACAAGTGTCCTTAATGTTACACATAACATTTATGGACGTTTAGAAATATGGATGAAATCATGTTAAATTGTCACTCTGTTGGGTAGGGTTGCACCTGCTGTTCGTAGGTTCTTTATTAAACTGAAACGTAAAGTCCACACTAGTGGCTTAGTAACTAAATTCGTTCTCACTTCGGTTGCAGCACATGTTCTTAAGGCAAACCGGAGTTAGTAGGTCGTAAGCTCTCCGTAATGCGTATTCACATTGAATGATATAATATCCAATAAAAAGTATTTAAATCGTTAAACTGCTGTAAAATTCTAAAACTAATGCATCTATATCTAACTGTCCTGTGAAAATTAAATAATAATTCACACATTTTATAGTAAATTAAATTACAGTCAGTCACTAATAGCAGGCGACTCACACACCTGCATCGCGAGCTGTGAATGCACACGATAAACACATGAAGTTCTCAAAACAATAAACTTGATTTTTTTATATCCTACACAGGAAAGAGAAACAAGCAGAGAGAAAAACTTATTCATAAGTAAAATTTTTGTTTGAATTGATGAATACAATGAAAAAAAAAGACTCTTTGAAAATAATGAAACTCTTCTTTCACAACCCGAAATAGAATGCGCGATTTGGGAGGACAATAAGGATGTGAGTAGAGGGAGATCATTCTTCATTTTTACCGCGAGCTCCTCTATGTAAACTAATCTCACTGTAGTCTCTTTTCTACCGTTATACATGGGGGAGGCTGCCGTAAATATTTAGTTGGAATGTAGCGTTACGTTTAAACTAAGTCCAGTGGTGCAACACTAAAATATTCAGTAGTGTGTAAATTGTAGCTTAGGCCCAATCCAAATTCTACCCCTTACCCTTATTCCTTGTTTTGCACATTTCCGTGAAGGGGTAGGGGTGTCCCAATTCTCTTTAGCTTGAAGGCGTGGGGCTAAGGGGAAGAGGTAGATAGGCCTTGAAAGAGAGATTTTTCAGGACCGCACTCAAAACCAAGGGATAAGAAAATTTCCCTGAATACGCCAGCTACAGCGGCAGCATGGCTGCACGCGGAAGTAATGAGATGCACAAATTAGTTTCTTTGTCATTATTATGAATTTTTACAACAAACAAGCTTATGTTTTAATACATTCATAACAGCGTTCGTGTTTTACTGTCATCTAAGTCCATAATAATAACACCTGTATAGCAGTCCCACAACATTCTGACACTCAGTGAAGCTCCAATACCCTGTCAGAAAAGTCTAGTGGCTGGGAATGAGCTTTATACAGTGTCTGCTATAATGTTAATGTTGTTATTGTGTGTTTACATGGATGAATATGGCCATAGTGTAAATGCACAGTACAGGTACAAGTTTATTGCCACATTACATCGATATGATAACATAATATATGCCTTCAGTGATTTCCTGAAGATAAATACCAAAAAATAAAGCAATTAGAATAACTACAGCAGTTGCGATCGTCTGATCTCATATAAAACACGAGATTGCAATGACATATGATGATGTGTGCAGGTGCTGTAGTGCTGTCCCCTTTCTTTGGGGTAAATTTCTAAGCCCTTCAAACTCGGTTTTAAGGGGAAGGGGTAGGGGTACAAAAAGATCCATTTATTTAACATAATGTAGTAATAATTAAAATATATAGAAAGTAAATATGATCTATGATAATTCATTTATTAATTCATTCATTCATTTTCTTGTCGGCTTAGTCCCTTTATTAATCTGGGGACGCCTCAGCGGAATGAACCGCCAACTTATCCAGCACATTTTTACGCAGCGGATGCCCTTCCAGCCGCATCCCATCTCTGGGAAACCTATGATAATTGAAATATAAAAATACTTATCCTAAATTTAATTATTTATTATGACATATTGGTAAAACATAATACAAACTACAAAATACATATCATCTAATTAGTATAATTAGTATTTTCAGCTTTCACAGTAAGACTTAAATTAAGTCTTGATCTTCTAAATATTCCTGATAAGATATTTGAAATGTAGACTATTATTACACGGAATGATATTTAAGTCAGTTGGCTCTATTTTAACGATCTATGCCGAAAGTCTAAAGGGCATGGCGCAAAAGCATTAAGGGAATACCCAAATCCACACAATTTTTAAGAACGTAAAAATACACTCTGCGCTGCAACGCATGGTCTAACAGGCTTGTGTTTATTCTCTTAATGAGTTATGGGTGTGTTGTGAGCATAACATGCATTAAACAAATCAGAGTCTCATCTCATCTCCCATTCCCTTTAAGAGTCAGTTGTGTAGAGACATGGTGCATTTGCCATTTATATGACTATACTATTTATAGTAAACTATCTCTAAATTCAGTTCTAATTTCCAGCAAATGAATAAATGAACAATATTAACTAAGTGTGGTCAGAGCTGAGTTATATCATGTGAGGTGGTGTTTGTTCGAGTGCGTGCTGAAACAAACTGGTTACTCTGGCTAGCAAGTTTTCGGACCTCTGGCTGGAGGGCAAGACTGGCTTAGGCCTGTAGTTGGCAACAGCCACGGGGCTTTTTGCAACGTCTGCCAGCATTTGCATCAAGCAGCGCCTGCAGTTAAACTCACATCAGCTTATTATGACACTTTTATCAATCATTTTTTCCTGCAATTGACAACAAGAGCAAACACAGAAGTGTTGTCTGATTGACAAGCAGCACTTAATTATGTTCAAAAGAATTTAAAATGCCAATGGGATGAATTTATACCCCATTTTGAAAGTAAAACATACTCTAATAGATAGTGCAGTGTGTGTGAGGGGGACAGTGTTTCGATGTGATCCTGTTATGTTGTGATTCTGTGACTGATGGTGTTTGTTGCTGTATTGCTAGCAATTATGACAGGTAAAGTAACTGCGTTAATTTCGATTTAAACTATTGATTAATTCATTTTCTTGTCGGCTTAGTCCCTTTAATAATCTGGGGTCACCACAGCGGAATGAACCACCAACTTATCCAGCAAGTTTTTACGCAGCGGATGCCCTTCTAGCCCAACCACACACACATTCACACACACACTCATACACTACGGACAATTTAGCCTACCCAATTCACCTGTACCGCATGTCTTTGGATTGTGGGGGAAACCGGAGCAGCCGGAGGAAACCTACGCGACCGCAGGGAGAACATGCAAACTCCACACAGAAACACCAATTGAGCCGAGGCTCGAACCAGCAACCTTTTTGCTATAAGGCGACAGCACTTCCTACTGCGCCACTGCTTCACCCTCGATTTAAATCAATTAAAAATAAATCAAATATTAATTCAATATTTTGGGTGTTTTTTGTGAGTTTGCGTGGGCTTTGGACAGCTTTTGGGCTGAAAAAAGTCTGCTATATCTGGCAACACAGGTGATAGCTTGGCAACAGAGCCGCAACGTCAACACATAGGGCCCTATCATACACCCGGCGCAAGGCGCGGCGCAATAGTCTTTTGCTACTTTCACCTCGGCGCAAGGGTCATTTTGAGGTGTTGCGCCACACTGTTCAAATAGCAAATGCATTTGCGCTGATATGTGCGCCCATAGGCGTTCTGGTCTAAAAAAGCAGGCGTGTTTTGGCACGTTGCTATTTTGAGAAACTGTAAATAGTCTGTTCTTTAGACCAGAACAAAGTCGGTCTATTGTCTGGCGCAAAGTACGTCTGGCTTACAGGCTACACACAAGATGTAGAGCAATACGCAAATATCTTTACATATGAAAAAGATATAATATTTTAAGGATATATATAATAAGGATATATCTAGGATATAAATATAAATTATTAAAATACTACAAAACATATTAGTTTCTAGCCTACATGAATTAAAAAAACACTGCCTTCATACTTTCTTCATCTCGGGAGGCTTTTTCAGTTCATTCAATTTGCTTTAGTATAATGTTATTATTATTACCAGTATTATTTATTATATCCATATTTATATTTGTTTTATTAAAAACAAGCTTAGATTTGTCCACCTATCAGGTTTTAGACCATATGGGGCACAGCATGTGTATTTGGAAATAACTCAGTATTTTGACCGCACTTTGTTATTATTGTTCATTTATTCGTTTGCTGGAAATTAGAACTGAATTTAGAAATAGTTTTGAAACAAATATTTGCGCTTACCAAACGAAATTATTATTTATAGGCTAATTGATGTCTGTGCGGTAAGGTTTCCCTATCCACGAGAGCAAAAACGAAAGTGAACTTACTTTACGTCATGTAAATAGCGAATGCGCTTATGGCGCGACACAGCTGGCTCTTAAAGGTAATGGGAGATGAGACTTTGATTGGTTTATTCTCAAAACACACCTATAACTCATAAAGAAAATAAACTCAACCCTTTTAGACCATGCGCCATGACGCAAAGCTGATTTTCCCGTCCTTAAATTAGCAAAAATGCATTTTGACACGCCCTGAAAGCGTTTGCGCCCTGCATTTTGCGCTCTGCATGGACCGTCAAAATAGAGCCCATAGAATCTATCGGCTCAGTTCAGCACGGTTGTCTAACCATGCTGAGAATTCCGGGCCAAGAATGGTTTGTACTTGTGCCGCGTCATCCCAGGCTTAATGGAGAAACAATCGTAACCGTAGCGAACTGTTCTTAGAATAGCGGCTATTGTTTCTTTTTGACATTGATTAGTAACAATGGACAAGGCCCATTGTGACTTATTGATTAATCCCTATGCTTTACTTAAATGTATATGTCATTTGCAATATATTATTCTATTTGGACAGATATTTCATTTACGCCAATACAGTTGCAGCTTTAAGTTGCGCTGGTATTAAAAAAATGTTTTGAATGTATTAAAAAAAGGTAGTAAAAGA